AAAAAAAAAAAAAAAAAAAACTAGTATTAATATTAACTCATATTGTTTAATCTAAAAAATACTAATTATGCCATATGAGTCCAATAAAAACTGTTAAACATATGAGCTCAGAGCTTAATATAATAAACTAATAAAGCATTTAACAAAATAATTAAACAGGAGAAAAGAGTACATAGATCAAGCAGACAAATACAGAGAGAAAGAAAAAGAGGGAAAAAGGATAGAGTCAAAGAGTTTGTCAATTTTCGGTCCAATTATACGAGAAGACTACTTACATGATAACAAAATTCTTTCTGTTTGTTTTAATAGAGGTAAAAATTACTCTTTTTTAATTTTTTTTAGATAGTAGTAGTAAATATATATATATCTTTTTTTTAATGTAGAAACTGCACATTCAAGCCTCTTTTAGGTTCTTTTAACAGCTATTTAAAGTGTGATATGACAAAATGGGGAATTTTATTTATTGTATATTTATAATATTATTTTTTTATATCAAACATTGAGAGATATTTTCAAAAAAGGATGTGTCAACAAAATTCTTGTGAAAATGTTTCAAAAGAAGATACCTTGAACCCAATTAGATTTGAGGGAAATTCTAGTATTTTTGGGCAGGAATAATATAGGACGAGAAATTCTGGTATCAATGCGGAAATTAGTCAAGATCATCAGGGTTTATCCTTAAAACACTGTTTTTACATTTGCCATTTTCATTAGGTTTCTTAGATTTTTTAATTATATAGTTAGGCCCCCTCTCATTATATTTGCTAGATCCGCCCCTGATTGTCCCCCCAAAAGTTTGTAATTATTTTAAAATAATAATTGTATTTCTTTTTCTACTAATTATTTAACTACTATTGTTCTCTTTTTTACACTTTCGTATACCATTTTTTTCTAATTTTAATAAATTGAATGTATGGTAAATATTTAAAAACATAAAAATTGGTAATTATTTAAAATAAAGACCATATATGATATGCCTAAAGGAAAAAAAATATCAAAACCATTAGTATTGGGTCATGAGTTGAGAGAACAATCGATCTATTTGTTATTGTAACGTTTGAAACTTTATAATTTCTATTGCACTATAATTATATATAATTTATAATACAACTTTCAATTTTTTATGTACATTAAATTAAATCTATGATTATTAAAAAATATATAGGCCCCCTCGAAATAAATTTCTGGATCCGCCTCTACTTAGGATGTAACTGGATATAAACTTCATTAAATAAAAAATCAATCAAAACTCAAATTTAACTCAACACCAATATCCTCAATATTATCAATATAATTAAATAATTAACAACCAACAATTTTTATACATCACATCAACTTTAATCCACTATTTATCGACTCACATAATCTTAAGTAACCATCATTTCCAATCATTTGTCATATATTTACATCAAATCAAGTTTAATTATTTATTTTATATATTTTTAAATTTAAATTTAAATTTTCCACTAACAGCTAATTATACTTTTTTTAAAAATTAATTATGATTAACAAAAAAAGAATCAAAAATCAATTAAATCCATATCTAATCACACTCTTAGTGTTTGACGAGTTATTAGAGAGAGTTCTTGCCATAGTTGTTTTAGGGGCTAGCTAATAAGATTTCATGCTCCTCTTTCATGTTCATTATGTTGAATGAACGACACGTATAAAAGATGATGTCATGTTTGTATACATGTGAATCATCCAACAAAATGAAATACAAAATAGAACATGAAAGCGGAATAGAAAATTTAATCTCGGGTAGCTAAACATTGCTTGAACTGCCAAAGGGGAACGCCAACAGTTAATGAAATTGCGAGAAGCTGGAAAAAATATATGTTGTATTAACCACAATGGTAAGTACACATATCTACATGCGTGGGGGCCATCACTAAAAAAAAACTAAGAAAAAAATTGGTGGCACATTTTCTCATCTACATTCACATTTTTTTCTCTACACCATTTATTTCTATTTATTATAAATAAAATTAATTGTCTTTATTGTTACAAAAACACTCTGCTTAATTTCATCCCCAAAACGTATCTGCTATAAAGGGAAATTGTTGTAAGACATTGCTTTTCAATGATGAGATATGTAAAACAATTGGATAAATATCTCATGAAAAAGTTATCTATTATTAAAGCGGTCGGGAGCCCGTATATGCTGAATATTGAGATAATTGACGCCGTTTGTGGTTAAACTAATTACACAAGCAAAACAAATAGTTTTTAAACCAATTAATAAGTGTGGTTGGTTTTACGGCAAAATTGGTTGTCACATAAATAATTTTTAATCAATTATCTTTGATTTTGAAAATTAAAAGTCGTGTTTTTACAGTCCTGTGTTGATTCAATTTTTCGCCTTATAATTAGTTTGTTTGATCAATGTTTTTAGGTGCGTTTGTGAGTGTAAATTATGTTTCAATAATCGTTTATGCAATTTTGGATCTATTTGTTTTAAAATATGAAGTATCTCCTTCAAACAAAACTTTTATTTTTGTCTTTTGCCTGATGATTATGCGAAATTTTAAAGTGTGATTAGATACAAAAATTTCAACAAAAATGAACAGACTTCTTTGAATTGGAAAAAAGGTGTCTGCCTTGTACAATTGTTTTTTATACCATATTTGCAGGCGTGCGGCCCACTACTATTGCAACAAAAAAAAAAAAAAAATTGGGGTGACACATCTTAACGTATTGGCTTTGAGAGAAATTTGTTGTAAGTCATTGTTTCTCAATGATGACATGCTATTATTAAATTTTAACACAATTGGGCATATATCGCATAGAAAAAATTATCTAATACAAAATAGGTCGGGAGCTCATAAATGCTGAAAATTGACATAATTGGCAGCCCCTTGTGTTTAAACTAATAACAGAAGCAAAATAAATAGTTTGTAAACCAATTAATAGTATTTGAACAATACAATAATGATCATCTACCCACGGTGGGCACATATTAATATGCCCATCGCTTATGTGGCATGCACACACTGGTGATGTATTTTTTAAACATATTAACATCACCAATGTATGCATACCACATAAGCGATAGACATATTAACATGTGCCCACTATGAGTAGGAGATCATTACTGCAATCAGTAATGATCTCCTACCCACGGTGGGCAATGTTAATATGCCCACCGCTTATGTGGTATGCATACATTGATGATGTATTTTTTTAAACATATTAACATCACCAATGTGTGAGACATATTAACATGTGCCCACCGTGGGTACGGGAGCATTACTGCAATCAATAATGATCCCCTACCCACGGTGGGCACACATTAATATGCTAACCGCTTATGTGGCATGCACACACTGGTGATGTATTTTTTTGAAAACTAAAAGTTGTGTTTTAACAGTCTTTCGTTGGATCAATTCGATGTTGTATAATTTGTTCATTTTATCAATGTATTTAGGTACGTTTGTGAGCATAAGTTCTTTCTCGATAGTCTTTTGATGCAATTTTAAATCTATATATTTAAATTTTGGGAATATCATTTCAAACATAAATATTTTGATATTATGGGCCGATGCTCAACCGGAGATTCCTAGTTTAAATATATAACCCGCTATAAAATTATGTTTGGAAGTATATGATAATTTCGAAAAGTATGAAACGTGTAGAAGTTGCAAATTGCAATAAGAATAAATTTTGTTATAGCCGACTTGAGAAATGTGCCACTCCAAATAAGATTATTCTAGAATTTCCAAGTACAAAAATCGAGTTATAGGAATAAACAAGTAATTCTACCCCTATGGGTAAAAGGAAAGGTCGATAAATAGTAAAAACTTTAGAATAAACAAGTAATTATACTCCTGAGGGGTAAAGGAAAGCTCGAT